TATTATTTTCTAGTAATTGAATTGAGTTATCATGCTTTGCTCTTAATTGAATTTATGTCTTCATACTTGAATAAATATTGAGTGATTGTCATGTAATACCCTTACTGATATCATCATATTTTGCATCGATTCATAATTTTTAAAAATGAAAAAAAAAAAATACTTACTGAGGTTTATGGTGTTACATATAACACTACACACTGCTCTTGTCAACCATCATTCTTCCTCCTCTACCTCTTAGATTTCCTCCTATAAAGTTGTTTAATTCAACAACCCTATTGCCACATTTTTCACCCTTTTGGAATGTTGATATCTTGAAATTTGGGGACTCTCTTCCACCAAAATTCTGAAAGTTCCCTCTACATTTGTTCATGGGCCACTTTCCCTTCGCCTTCTTGTCTCTTTTATTGAAACTAACTTGCAAAGTGATCTCAATTTTTGCCTTATCAACATTATTTTCCTTCATTCTCTGCTTGCGCGCTTCAAGAGAGCTTTGCAACACCTCTATGCTCATCGATGCAAGATCCTTCAATTCCTTAATCACAACCACCATATTGTCAAATCTTGGCGTTAAGGAACATAAGATTTTCACGACAACATACTGCTCTGTGATTGTTCTCCACACACGTTTCCTTGGTTCACCAACCGAGTAATTCTCGTTGTAAAATTATTGGTGGTCTCCTTCTCCTTCATTTGAATTAACTCAAGCTGTCTTTTCTGAGTTTGTTACCTCTCAAACTTCGTCTTGCCATCCCCTGCATATACCTTCTCCAAAATTTTCCATGCTTTCTTCGATCATTCGCAATCACCAACTTTTTCGAAATTATCCGCGTCAACACATTGATGGATAAAAAACAACGCTTTGAAATATTTTGTCTTCTCTTTCTTATGTTTATATTGTTGTGCGTCTGTTGCACCTTCTACAAGTGTAGTTACCCCTCAAGAACATCTTGATAGTCCAACAACACCTTCATTTGTTTGCACCACTTGTCATAATTCTTCGTATCAAGGATATGTAGATTTGCAGGAATTCTTTCATTGCAGACAAAAGTCATGTTTCACACTAGGTTTTTGATGGATCGAAGCAAACTCTTGATGTCTAATGTTGGAATTTGGAACCACAAGGTTAGTGAATAACTAAGTGTGGAGAGGGAGAGAGTGAGAGAATGAGAGAGAGTAATTCAAGGTGAAAATACTTGCACTCATTCCTTCATAAGATACCCAAAAAATATATATACAACAATACAAGATGAGGTACAATTATCAAACAAATAAAAATAAAAACTTCCAAGTGTAACCGGTTGACATATTATACCAACCAATTGCACTTAACTACTAAATAGGTTATTAACTAAAGTACTATCCGTATAATATATCAACCGATTACATGCACGTGATTTACTCTTTTCTCTTAACAAAACTTATGGCTACAAGATTACAACTTGAGAATAAGTATCAAGATCCACTTTATAATACAAAACTTATTTTATTAAAAAATAAATGATGGATATAGTTTATAGTTTACTGTTAAGTGGCAAGGGTGCACAATTAAATACAATTTGTTCTCTATAAACCCTAAGTATAGAAACAGTCTTTTGGTGAACAGATGGATCCGCAGAGAAAATGAAGATTGTAAATGATTACAATATACCGATGATTTTGTCCATATCAAAATGAAATTACCTTGATAATATCAAATACTGTTGAATATGAAAAGAAAAGAAAACAAAAAGCCTAGAGCTTGATAGAGATGTAACTAGAATCTTTTGACCGCACGTGTAAATCTTTTTTATGTTAGATATGTTGTGAGAAGGTGTTGAATGATCAAAATCATATGACAATAACATGACATTATCTTAGTATGACACTTTCTTAATTTAATGTTTCTTTTTGACATACTAAAAACTAATTTGCACCCTTTAGACTCTATAGAGCATGAAAAGACATTGCAACTTCTCACTTTGATATTGTGTGAAGGACATGGTAACTAGTATAGATATTTTTCAAAGGATGACGACTTTGCTTCAAACATAAGATCTCTATTTCGGATCTGCATAAGTTTTGAGAAATTTTATGATCATGACTGAATTGATTGAGGACAAATTCTATGTGGCCAAGTGTTGGTAGTATGAGATTGCATAATCGATATTTTTCTGAATGGTTAAGATTGCTCGAGCTAATTGTATCACTAGATGTGTGTGGCAATAATTATACATAAATGACAAACATAGAAATGTTGTAATGTTGTCACCTGTCACTGCCATTCTTATCTAGAAAGTATTAAAATGTTAATTTTCCTCCTTAATTTTGCAATATTATTGAATGGTGCCTTGCAGCGGATCCTGCACCGCTGCACACCACTTCCGACTCCGACCACTGGCTGGCGGATGCCCTCGCCGGACTGCCTCTCTGCGGCAGCGGCATTTTTCCCGATGAGTTCAAAGTTAGAACCTCCGAATTTAAGGTCCGAGATCAAACCCTTATTCCTTAGACAAAAAAGCTTTGAAACTAAGTACAAGAATTAGTCAAGAATCCGCAGGAATTAGCCATGGCTGGAATCCCAAAGTTGCATATGTATTGTTATTGTTATGTAGCAGCTGTGGGGACCTTGGACAATTGTTAACAACAGTGACTAGAGCTGTCAATGCTTCATAACCAGCTACGAACCATGCTGTCTAAGTAGTAGTAAATTAGCAGCTACCAATTGACATCTGAACTGCTACCTAGTACTGTGTTTGTACATAAGGGTAACTCTTATTCTGTCCATTACTTACCTAGCAAGCTACAGTATGTATTGGAAATTACCAAATCAACATATTCGAAAATCTTTATCTTTAAAATCTCCATAGCACCGACATCTCTAAAAAAATGTGTGTCTGTGTCAGTATTGGAAAACGACATTTTTTTTAATTAGTAATGATATTAACGTGTCAATGTTAGTGTTATTTCTGATATTGACGTGTCTGTGATTCACAATGAGAAAGAGTGTTTGATGGTGTATTACTAGGAAGTACCAGTAATAGAATGAATAATAATTTATGTGTTGATTAAACCGCAGGTAATGGTATTGTGAATCACGAAAACTTCACGTGCAATTTCTGACTTTCTTGTTTACTACAACCGACCAATTTTTTATGAATTCCAAAATATACTACCAACGTTGGACCACTTTGATTACAGAGTATTTCAGTCATTAATGTTATCACTTCTGTCTCTAATGTTTCACACTTAAACAAGTGAGAATCATTTGAAATTTACTACTACTACTACTAATGTTGTGTATGTGTATACACGACAATTACTTAAGTTTACTACATGTCAGAGTAGTAAAAAGACAGAGAAAGTTACATGCTTAGGATTAATTTAATTAATCACTTAACTAGTTAACTGTGTTTTTATCACTTTTATATGGAATCTCAAGTCAAAAGCTTGAAACTTACGTCCATGCTTACTTTTCTTAACTCTCTATAATCATGCAGAAGAAATTATAAAATAATACTAGTAATTATCACTTTTGGTGCATTACATAAGAAAAATATGCTTTCAGGTTGATGCAAAAGCCACTTTACCATATTTTTTTATTTTTTTGGTTATATACTATTTTTGGATATAACAAAAGACAATATGAAGAAGGGGCTGAAAATTGTGGCCTATGATATTAATGTGTGTGAGAATCTTTGATTCAAAGTGTTGGGTGATGCACAAATATACTGCTTCCATTTTCTTGCAGACTGTTCCAAAGTTGTCAGAGACTCAGAATGCTCTTAACATATTAACATATTCTGATATTCGGTTTGTTCTGGATATCCATTAGGCAGCTTTTGCCTAAAGGGTTTGAATTTAATGTCAACAAAATTTCACAGCTAATAATTCCAAAAATGACCCCAAATAATTTAAATGGTGTCTAATTTAAACAGAATGTACCACATCTTTGAATCTATTTTGAAAATAAAGTAATGTTAAATCTCAAGAGTACGGATCAAGATTTTAAATCAGCCTTCTAATCTGTCTGTCACACTCAACCCTGTAATTTCTTTCTAGATTTTTGCAGACGTGGATATTAACATTGTTTTTTTTTATTTTAGACTTTAAAAGTTCAAACCGCATCATCCTTATTTTTTACGAGGCGGACCAAAGTTTTTAGATCCGTCGCACCCTCAACTATGCTCGCTCCATCCCACTCCGTTAGATTGACCTTAATAGAACAGGCATATTGGTTTGTCATCCCTATTCATTTTGGCTCTCTTTAGTTTGAAAAACAGGTCTTTCCATTTGTGTGCAAGGTAATTATTATTAAAAAAAACCTTTCAAATGGTTGTTGTTATGAAATCTTGTGTAGGATTCAACAAAACCAGACCCCTATCCATTAGTCATGCGCCTAATTATGTGGATCCAATGAAATATAGAGAAAAAAACAACAAAATAAGAAGCTTTAATTAGCAAAAAGAGAAAATACTTTTGTCTTCATGTGCAACCATTAACTCGCCTATGTGATGCACAAATTAAGGGCATCTTATGAACTAAGGAAAACAAAAATGCATCTTTACTCAAAGAAAATGCTAATGGAAGATCCATTATTATGATGGTGGGTAGTGCCTATGCATATAGCATTAGGATTAGGATTAGGACTAAAGAGTGTGACATAGCACAATGTAAGAAAGAGAGGCAATGTTGAATTGATTGAGGTTATTTTATTTTATTTTATTTTTTTTTTTATGAATCGTTGTTTATTTGGGTATGGTATGGATTCCAAAATGGTAAGGTGGGGTCCAATTGATGTTTGTCTGGTGGTTTTGGAGGCATTGCACGCCCTTTCATGCCCCATTGGTGCCTCTTTACTAAGACCAACGTGGCTTAGGACCACTACCTCAAGTTCTATAAGAACCCATCATAAAACCAATTCTAAAAATCAAGTCTTTCACACACAACTCAAGTTCTAAAAACTAAAGAAAAACAACCTTTTTGTTTTCCAAGAGTTTCTATAATACTTCACTCATAATATGAAGATGGGTTCTATTGGAAGCTCAAAAAGATCAAGATTATCATCATCATCAAGTAGAGGGCTTGGAGGTGTCCTTAAGGAACAAAGAGCTAGGCTATACATCATAAGAAGGTGTGTGGTCATGCTTCTATGTTGGCATGAGTAATTGTGTTTGTGTTTGGAAAATACAAAAATTTCGAGGATCAGAAGCTACACATTGGAGTTTCTAAAATTCACAACTAGAGAGCTTTGAACACCTGTTAGCGTTATTCAACGTTAATCCAAACACCTGCTAAGTAGTTAGTTAGTTGAGTTGAGGTTTGTATAAGATTTAGAAGTTCAAACTTGGTTCTTTGGCACTAGAACAAGATTGGTTGTTTCTTCTTTAGGTTTTTCTTTTTGCCTTCTTCCTTTGATTCATGGTGGGGTGTAAATAGCTAACGGCTTGGATATTATGGGAGAGTGTAACAATTTTTTTTCATGGGTTGCTAGCTATAGCCTTTATGTACATTAGAGTGTCAATGAATTATGTTAAAGGTTAACAATTTCAATTTTGCCTCAAAGTCCATTTTGATCTTGATATTCTTTTCTTCATTCAACTTCTCCTTTTATTTTGTTCTTTGATGAATCTTCTTGATTTGAATCTTGATTAATAGTTTTGAATGATCAGAAACATTGAAAGAATCTTCTGACTTGGTAGGCTTTCTTAGATTATGTGAATATTCAACACAAAGAAGAAAAACAACAATTTAGATTGTGCTTATTTGAATGTTTATTTTTACTATATCATAGAATTTGTTTTTTTTTTCTCCAGTAATTAGTAGAATTTACTCTTTAAAGTAAAAGAATTGAATGTCACAAATTCGAACTAACACTTCATATTAACATTTCTACATAGTTAATAACTGAGTCACTTAACAAAATATATTATAGAACTTGTTAAGTTGTGTATAAACTAGGATAATTTTATGTTTTTGCACAAGGATAAGTTTTTGTTAAGAATACCTAACAAAACAAAAATAAGAGGATTTAAAATTTTAAAAAAAAATTGTTAAAAATGGGAAAGCTTATGAAACAAAAGTAGTGCATGTGAGGATGAAGTTAATTAGTTACAAGTGGTATAAATAATTAGTCACATGATGTAGGGCCTTTAATCATTTGAAGTGAAGATTTTATTGATGACTATAGAATTGGAACTGACAGCATAGCAATAACATTTTTTATATGGTTAATGATGGAATCTACTTATTCACATTTTTTACCCAAAAAACGGAAGTATACATGTGAACTGAAGTGCTTGTAGCTTGAACAAAGGTGTGACAAAACAATTTATAAAAAAAGTTTAACAAACAAATATATTTAATTTGTTTTTGGTGTTCTTTTCATAGTTGGCCATAGAAAATGAGGATTTAACTTGATACCTCAGTCTAATTAGACTTATCTATGAAAAGACGATCCTCCTATATATTTATTTATTTTTAAAAATTTTGAAATTTATAGTGTGAAGACGAAATTTTGAAATTCTTAGAGCCATATCAGAAATTTGGAGTAGCTATCAGAAATTTTAAAAACAGTAAATTTTTATCCTGATTTTTTTAAAATTTATGACATTTTGAATCGAAAATTTCAAAATTTTCAGTGTTTATATTGAAATTTATATCGGAAATTTCAAAATTTCCAGTGTTTACATTGAAAAGTTTATCAAAAATTTCGAAATTTTGGGTATAAAGTCCCATTGATCATACAGGAAATTTCAAAATTTTCGATAGTTATAAAAACTTGATTTTGTATTGGAAGTCCTGAAATTTCTGGTATATTATGTGGTTTTGTACCAGAAATTTTTAGTAGTTGCCAATTTTTTTTCGTTTGCAGTGAAATACAGAGGCAGAGACAACACTATTGTAGGGAGAGATGTTAATCGAGCGGAAGACTAGAGTAGGACTGTCAGGGGTGCTGATGCTGAGTCTTCCTAGTTGCGGGCAAGACAAGTGGCCCCAACCGGTTCGCACCGGAAGCGGTTGGTGTTCCAACTGCAGTAAAGCAGCAAGAAGCAAAAATTTAGTTTTGGAAGGATTTTCTCCGAGATTTATATCGTCTCCTCAGGGATCGGTGCGAGGGAAAGAATTTCGTTCAACGGTCTATGCGTTCCTAAGCTTGTTGATAAATTGTTTAACATATTCAAGGTAAAATAGATAAAAGTTGAAAATATAAAGACGGAAAATGTAAAGTAAAGACTTAAAATAAACAGAGCCTTGTTGGGATTGGATCTCATCAATTTATAACACATGCATTCTTCTGACCAATTAAACAAAAATTAATCATTCGTCTAATATCCTCATGTATCACCCACAACAGAAGTTATATCTAACGCAACATCGAGAGAACAACTGTATTGTCTCATTTGTGATGTCTCGCGCAAATCAACAACACAGAGCATTAAGATACTCACGCAAATGTTAAACCTAAACCTATGTCTAGAGTTTAGAACCTAACAGATATTCATCCTAGATCCAGATCTGAAGAGTATATTTTTATAGCGATTCAAATCAATATGTAAACAAGTAAACAAGGATAACATCCATATCAGATACATGATTGATTCATATAAAATGCCATGATCAGAATACGTACATACGATTAACCCTTTTTACATGCATTAAACTAATTTTCTAAATGTAAGTGAACATCGTTCTTCATCTCTATTATCACGCATCCTCACAATACTATTTGTGTCAAAAACGTATCGTGGTCTTTAGCATATTGATCGCTACTCATGCTAATAATCAACACAATAAAATAAAAGGGACACTAGTGAATATCAACTTATAAGACTATGTCAAAAGTTTGCTCATTGATAAATGAATATCTTAGATCTAAAATTTGAAAAGGTTTTGTCAAGACCCACAAATAAGAAATCAAAGACAACATCAATATTGAAACAAAACTAGTTCACAAAACATAGATTAGATGAAATACATAAGGTATCAATAGACTACATCCAAACCCAACAAGAGATCGAAACACTTACTCGAAGATCAAGCTCTGAGTTGCTTCGATTTGTGCTTCTCCCTCTTAGGGTTTGTGTTTCTCTCTCTAGAATATGCTTGGAATGAAGAGAGATAAAGTTCTGATCTCAAAATATATGTTATACAAATTATGTTTCTAAAAAGTGAGAAAAGTACATATATAGTAAAACAAAAATCTGTCTTGTTCGCCTAATGAACACCTTCTTCGTACAGTAAAGACCACTTTTAGGCACTTGAAGGAACAGTTAAACCGCCCTTGGAAATATCTAAGCTCGCAGTGAGAGCTCATTCTTCGCACAACGGACTCATTCACTATAACTTTGCCCAGCGAACTTAGGATCCTTTTCCTACTGCTTCTAATCTGGGATGGTTCGCTGGGATTTTGCCATGATCTCACACAACAAACATTTTCTTTCACCTTGCTAGTGTTCGCACAACGAACATGCTGATTCTTCTTCATTTCTTTAGCCTCCTTGTCCAATCATTTGTGTCTTAATCATTGATGTTTTATGATTATATCCTGCACAATAACACACACATCAAAGAATCCAAATATATTTGCAATATAATTGAAGAATCACACAAGGAAAAGAAATAAATTCATTAAAACATGAGAAATGAGTTGAAAAATGACAAGAAAGATGGTTTAATTTAGGTCAAAATTTGCACTTAACAGTTGACTGAGCAGGGTCAGTTCTGGGTACCTCGTTGTACTAGATGTCGACCGGTACGATCAGTAGAGCAACCTAGAGATGAGGTAGTGTTAGATGCTACTGTTGCTGATCTGGTGGATGATCCAGTGGTTAGTCCGGTTTTTGATGCAGTTGTTGATCCAATTTTTGATTTGGTAGTTGAGAATGTTGCTGAGGAGAAGGTTGTTTAGATGGTCCAACCAATGTTGTTGTTGCTGATTCGGTCCCACAGGTTACTATTGACACAGAGGTTACGACTCCTTCAACCGAGCCCTCTATACACACTAATGGAGGAATCCCTAGAAGACCCATCGGCCGATCGATGCTTACAGAGTACACTTACCATGTGGCGTTATGACTATGGCAGGGCGAGGTATATGTCGTTTATGTTTAACGTTAAACATTATTTATATATGTTTGTCACAAGAGATATCAACTAATTTGTTTATGTTTTTGTCACAATAGCGACCCACACTGAAGGTGGCATTGCATGGGTCGAAGATGGAGGACTTTCCAAAGATTATGATGCTTGAGCAAGTCAGTGGATTATACAGGAGTTCCAGATGCTTGATTTTTCCCACTGCTCTCACGCCATGCTCGACACTCCATTACTTAGTGCGTTTATCGAGAGGTGGCACAAGAAGACATCTTCACTTTATCTACTGTTCGGGGAGATGACTATCATTCTGGATGATGTCTCTGTATTGTTCCATCTCCCTATCGGCGACAGATTTTGGACAACTCCCATTCTTACCATGTCCCTTGCATATTAGACTGTTGCACCGAGATTTGGGATTGTTTGAGGAAGAGGTGCAGAATGAGTTTGGCGAGACCAATGGTGCACACCTTCGTAGGTCTTGGCTTCAGAAGACATACGATCAGCTTGTAGTTATTGGAGATATAAGGTTGCCGCTAGGGCGTACATGCTACATATAGAAGCGTGCACTCTCTTTGCGGACAAGTATGATGTTTATATCAATACCTGATACCCGTGCCTTTTTAGTAGCCTCAAGGACACCAGTTGTACTTAGGGGTGTGTTGCATTGACCCTTTGGTATACAGCTCTTGAAGTGGCGACGATCTTTGAGACCAAACAACTTGCTGACTATTTGAGTCTGTTTTAGGTATATTTGAAATTATTATTTATTGTTGATTTCTTATTTAATTGTTACGAACAATATTTCTTATTTATTATTGTTGTGTATCTGTTTTGAAATCGGTGCTGGATATACGAGCATTTTCCCATCATCTGTGACAAGAGAGTACAATATTGTGAGGTGAGGTCTCCACGGGAAAAGAGATGGAAGGTTAAGCAGGCACATTTTGATGGTGTTGTTGATCACAGGAGGAGACTCGATGCGCTAACTGTAGATGATATCATCTAAACAGAATACATTAATCATAAAGTCCACCGTGAGTTCGAGGAGTCGTCTTTATATTCAGGTTAT